ATTGGGCGACCCCTCCTATCTTCTTGAGTGTCTTAAACAGGAATGGGTGTTGGAGTTGTCAAATGCTTTTTCCGCATCTAGCAATATAATTTTTCACGTCAATGTGGTGAGTGATAATAATGGTCTTTCCCATCCCTGCATCCCTAGTATGAATCCCACTTGGTCATGGTGAATTTTTTCCCCATGCTTTGTATTCTATTCACCCATATTTTGTTAATGATTTTTGCATCAGTGTTCATTAGGGATATTGGTCTGTAGTTCTCAATTCTTGTGGGATCCTTGCCTGCTTTAGGTATCAGAATTATACTACCTACATATAAAGAATTTGAGAGTTGTCCGTCTTTGTCTATGTTCTGGAAGAGTTTGTGTAGGATTGGTGTCAGTTTTTCCCTGAATGCTTGGTAGAATTCTCCTTTGAAGCCATCTGGCCTGGGGGATTTTTTTGTTGGTAATCCCTTGATAACCTAGTCTATTTCTTCAATTGCTATGGGTCTGTTGAGGTTCTTGACATCCATCTGGAATAGTCTAGGGAGGGATTGTGTTTCCAAGTATTTGCCCATGTCTTCCAAGTTGTTGAATTCGTTAAGAGTACAGGATACTGTATGATTATATTTATTTTGGTACGTCGTATTTTCATTCTCACTAGTTTCTAGAAACTAACTGATTTCATCTCTGAACTGGGCCTTTTTGCAAGTTATTCATCCTCCAATTGTTTGCCCTTGTTTTCTTAATTGTCCTTTTGATTCCTCCTTTACGGCATAGTGGTGGAGAGAAGTCTGTATAATCTCTAGCATACTTGTTTTAATGTGCTACCGGAAGCACTTGAGTGAGAGCAGTGCTTAGATTAAAGAGTCGCCCCTTATTTATGTGGCGAGACTTGATGTGTGACCTGTAAGTTTTTCAAGTTGACTTGAACACCAAACAGATTTTTTAGGTATCACTATGCTTTGAAGCGTCTCATGGCAACCTTCTCACCAGCTTTTTACAGAGTTCTTCTATTCCATGTGACTAGGACAGTCTGCTACAAAATCACAGTGGATGCCGATTGCCCAGGCTTCCTGTACCTGGGTGAGAACCGAGTCCAGGGCAGTTTCAGAGGTCTGGATTTGCAGAGGGGAGGTGTGGGTACTGCCTGTCAGGTCAGACTGATGTTAACAAGCGTGTTCCTACTCTGTGTGCATTTTTGTTTTATGGAAACTGCTGCCTTTTGGGAGTCTTTGTGGCGTACTGGTTGCAAGTTAGGCTGCTAACTGCAAGGTAAGCAGTTCAAAACCACCAGCCACTCCAAGGGAGAAAGATGATGCTTTCTACTCCTGAGTTACAGTCTTGGAAACTCACAGGGGTTTCTCCTATAAGGGTTGTTGTAAGAGCATCGACTCGGCAGTGAGTTTGGCTTGGTTTCTGACTGTGCTGCCTCTTGGCCTGTACATCATGGTGAGATGTGGACAGCCACTTCTGTAGACTTCCGTGTCCTTTTTCCCTAGAGGAAGACTCAGTTGCTGTCCTTCTCTAGGCAGCTTTGTGAATGAAGGGCTGGAGTGTTTGTGGGGCGGCCTGCCTGCTGGACTGACTCCAGAGACTGCTTAACTGCCTTGAGGCGCCTGAAAAATGGGTTGTGTAACTTGTTCTCTCTTGGTTTTAACACTATGTGTCTTTGGTTTATATTCATAAAGAAGAGGGATGGAGGGACAATCAGACATGGGGCAGGCTAGGGCTTTGGGTGGGGAGTAAGTGCAGCTGTAAGCTGGAGTGTTAGTGAGACTGTTGTGCAGTTGAGAGGGTAGCCCTCTGGTCGGATCTGACTGTCATCAAGCAGTTACTGCCTGAGCAGTCTCTTGCCGCTCCTTGTTGTTCACTCAGGCTGGTGCCTTGGGCACCTACTGTGAGAGTGAGGGGGCTTTCTGCTTTTGGGTATATTGGGATCCACGGACACAAACGTGTCCTGACAAATCCCAGGAGAGAGCATTGTCCCTTGTCCTGCCTGGGAATAGGTTGGGGAAAAGAGGGTATGGGGTGGGTGGGTGGGGGGAGATTAAGGGTGAGTGCTAGTAAGGCCCACAGAGCACTGGGGTGGCTGGAGATGGGATGGCCCTATAATGCATCTCAAGATGGAGCTGTCCTTATTCCAAGTGATGGGGTTTCAAGGTCATTTCCGTACAGGACTAAGGGCTGCTTTTTACTATGTTCAGGATACTGCAGGTCTGGGTTTGGGCAAGAATGTTCTACTAGACACCCACTTCTGTAGATGCCAGGTGCTCCCCACAGCTTTGACACAGGGTTTTATTGCTCTATGCAAAGAGGCTCTGTGGCCCCCTAAAGCTCACCTGTGATGGCCACACTGCAGGCACCTCCACTGTACTAAACAGGACACACCACATATTAGCACATTCCCATGACCCTGAGTACTTAACATAATTTAACATAATGAACCATGTGCCTTGGCCACAGGCTGCCAAGGAATGGAGCTCCTCCTGGGAAGACTGCACCTCCTGCCTGTGTCCAGTATTGCTCATGTGACCACAGAACAGTGTTCCTGGTGGCTCAGCCAGAGGCCTTGCCTCCTTTGTCTGCTTGTTTGCTAAAAGTTGTGGGCAACATTCTGATTATTTCTGGGCGTGATGGAAACAGACTTCCATCTCTTTTCTGGTGAGTGAATCAACACCAAGGGGAAATTGTAGTCGGTCCATTTTGAAAACGTAGATGGATTCAGACCCGATGGCTGGCACACCCATCTTTGAGGGACTGCTTGTCCCATCTATGGCGAGCATACTTGTTCCAGCACTCAGCTTAATTTGTGCTTGTGATGCCTAGTGGGGTAAGTGTTGAGCTGTTAAGGAACGGTCACCAGTTGCTATGCAGGAGAAATATGCGGTTATCTGCTTCTGTAAAGCTCTGCCTTACAGGGCTCTGAGTCACAATCTAGTTGAAGACAATGGGTATGGGTATTGGTTTGATAAAAAGTGGCCTTCGGAGTTCTCAAATCCCTTTAGGAGTCTGATGGGAGCTTTCGGTCCTCTTGTCTGTTCAGCACAGGGGTCAGCTATATGTGGCTATTTAGGTATGAACATGTGACTCTGAAGTAAAGTTGAAAATAAAACTGTTACTCAGATAATTTTGCTTTGTTAAAATATATTTATGGTTCTCAAATATTTTTTATTCTTCTGTTTCCAAAGTTTGCTGATCCCTAGTTTAGCACATACTTATCACCCAGCCTGCCCTTAGTCCTTAACATTTGCCTCTGACAATTCCAGTTTCCACTGCCCTGGACCAATGATGGCTTCTTTGAGTAAGAGCTTGGGGCTGCCTTAACGTT